GAGGATATTTAACAGCGTCCGCAATGTCAGCCACATCACCTTGTTTGTGACAACAGAAAATATCACCAGACATTGGCAAGTGACCCAGAGGGGGCAGGGGATGCAAAAATTGCTCCTGGATGAGAGTTACTGCTTAATGTATATATTAAAATAATATAGGCTTGTATATACATATATAAATCCATACGTATGTAATATAGACATGTAATGTTATCTGAAAGTACCATGTTTAATATGAATATTATATATCATTTACGTACATACATAAACGAGTATAATACAATAAAAAATAACATATCGATACAGATGAAACCTAAAACAGATATAAATATTTATATAAGATATATAAACACGTATAAAACATCTCTCTATCTGAAAAGCCCTGATGAAGACAGTCAAAAAGTTTAAAAAAACAAAAAGCCATGTATATGGAAAGGAAAAACTTAAGTAAACAAAAGGCAATCCGAAATCCAAGCAAAAGTGACATGGTCTCTAATTTCCTCCGAAGTGAAATGTGGACCAGATGCGGGTAGGAGATGAGGCGGCTCCAGAGAGGAATGCGGCTTGCTCTGGGGAAAGTAAGGGTGTGCGCGTGTGTGTGCGTGTGTGTGTGGACAGAGACAGAGATGGACAGCAATAAAGCTGTGGAGGGAGGAGAGGTGGCCAAAATGATCTCACGGTCCCCGCGTTCTGGCACAGACACGGGCACGTCTGTCTCCACGGGAAGGACGCCGGACTGGCAGCTGCAGAGCCCACTGTTAGTCACTTTTCCCCGAACAACTGCAGGAAGCGTTTAACACAGGCAGCCCCCAAGTCGCACACTCTCCTGCCTGCCATCCCCTTCTGTGCACCGCGGCAGGGAAAGGGCCCGGCTGCTGGGCAGGGTCAGGGAGGGGCCTGTAAAGGAGGCTGAGAGAGCAGGGCCCGCAGGAGGACAGCAGTGACGACAGCTTCCAGTCCCCCAGTGTCTTCACATGTGCTGTGCTGTCCTGAGCGTAAGGCAGCGATTGTCTCCTCTTGTCCTCGGGGAAAGCCCAGAAGAGGAAACAATTTTGCCTAGTTTACAGATGAGGAGACTGAGGCTTGGGAGGAAAGTGACAGGTTCTACAGCTTTCAGGGGACAGGCAGGCAGTCTCCACAGCCTAAGCTCCTGCTAGACCATAGTCTGACAGCTGGCAGGGCGCGCGTGGGCACCATGACACCCAGCAGATGCTTGGCAGCGCTGGGACGCACGTCTGGTTGCCACAACAGGGCCGTGCTGCTGCTCTCCAACAGACAGAAGTCAGTGATGCACAGGGCAGCCCTTCCGCACCCATCCGTCAGCTCCTGGTCAAAAGCGCGCCTCTGAGGAGCCAGGCACAGCCTGTTACCCAAGGCGAGACCACCTGTGTTCTAGAAGCTCGCTGGTTTGTTTTCTAAATGTAACAATGCATGCTCATCGGAAATAGAGGATTTCAAAGATTCTTCCTTGGTTCTGCTCCCTGGGGCAAACAGCTTGGTTTCTTCTGCCTCATCTTTTTCTACTGACAGACCTTCCCCCGCCTGCCTGTTCATCTCCTCATCCACCTAGCTCTGTTTTTGTCATCGGTCAAAAACACAAGCCGTGGGGCCAGGGATTTAGCTCAGTGGTTCCACCGCCTGCCTCACCAGCACAAGGACCCGAGTTCCATCCCTGGTACAAAACAAAAACAAAACAAGAAACAAAGAACAAAGAACAAGCCACATGTAACTTTGCATATCTGTTTACCCTTGGTGCCAGACTCCAATCAGACTGAAACCCGGGGCGCTTGCTATTCTTGCTCCTCCAGGTATCTGTGGACCTGCAGCCCTGAGCATCTCCCTGAAAGAGTGCTTTGTAATGCGGGTTTCCCCCATCCACCAGCCTTTCCTTACCCAGCTTGACTTTTTCTGTTTTTGGTACTGGGCATCGAATTCAGGACCTTGCACTTGCAAGACAGGTGTGGTGCCACTGAGCTACATCCTGGCCCACCCAGCCTGACTCCTGCAGCCTTCCCATCTCCGACATCTGCGTGCACACTTACTTCTCAACTTGTTCACTGGCTCACCCCTTCCTAGAATGTTGGCTCCATGAGGACAGAAATAATGTTCCCCTCTCTCTCTCTCCCTTCCTTCCTTCTCCTCCTCCCTCTGTTCCTCCACACTCATCTATTCTAAGTGTTTTGTACGTATTATCTCATTTAGTCCCTGTAACAACTTCTGGGGTGACTACTATTATTTCACAGAGAAGAAATGGAAGGATGAGATGTTAGTTTTGGCGATCAGTTTCTCCAAAAAGTGAGACAACTCAGATTGAACCAGGATGTCCAGTTCAGAGATTCCATTCCCTGAATTACTCTACGATCTCACCTCTCCACGGGATCAGAAGAATGATTTACTGAGGCCCAAGGAGGCTAAGGAACTTTTTTCTTTTCTTTTTAAATTTTTGAGACAGAGTCTTGCTATGTAGATCAGGCTGGCCTTGAACTCATCATGTAGCCCAGGCTGACCTCAAACCACCTTGATACTCCTGCCTCAGCCTCCCGAGTTCTGGGATTACGGGATCGCACTACCATGCCCGCGGGACTAAGAAACTTGATTACAAGTATCATCCATTTTTTAAATTGTTGCAAGCATGAAGGGTGAGACAAAGTGTCTTGTAGTTTTAACCCCCAAGGCTATCTCTTTTTTTTTCTTCTCTGTTTTGATTTGAATTTGAATTTTCTTACTTGGGTGCAGAGAATTTCTCAATGGAGAAAATACATATCCTGCTTACATATAGCTGTAGGGGTTCTTTTGCCATTATAGAAAAGTGATTAAAATAAATTCAAACTTTTTACTCCTAAAATACATTTTAAAGTTACTTAGTAATTTCCAATTTTTTTCTTTTTCTTTTTCTTTTTTTTTTTTGCTCAATAAACCACTGACTACATAAAAGCCTGAGTGCAACATGATATTCTGCTCTGGATCCAGGAGGAGGAAGTTGGCGGGGAAATCTATGAAGCGGACTGGTTAGAAGTATTATCCAGTGTTAACTTAATTTGGACAGAGGCACCCTGGGCACACAAAAAGTTACCACTGGGGAAATCGAAGTGACAGTTACTTTGTATTAACTTTGTAACTTTTCTACAAATCTAGCAATTATTCCAACTAAAAAGTTTATTTTGAAAGAGTGTTTAATGTTAGTTTTGAGATCTATAAACATACTCCCAGCGGGGCAAACATGGGAAACACCTGGCCACAGCTACGTTATGGTAAAAGAAAAAAAAAATCTCTTATCCTTCTGCTGGACAAAAGGGTATATTTAGCCTCACATTTTTTTGGTGGTGACCTCTGCATTCTGAAATGAATTAGAGATTTATGTGTACAAACCTAAAGAGAAGGAAACCAGGAAGTCAACAGGGAACAACTGTTATTCTATTTCACTTGTTTAGCCACAGCATCGTCACACCCGATGCCAGCGATCCAACTCTGCGGTCCAAAGACAGAGCCTTCTGCCTGTGACCAAATGGCTGGAAATGCCCTGGTGAAATTTCAGCCACATGGGTTAGCTCAATTATTAATATTAGATGGATTACTGTTATATCTGCACAATTAATGTTTATCTCAATTATTAGTTTATCCGAGTTCTTATTTTAGCTGAACTGTTTTAATTTACTCTTTCCCTCTGGCTAATGTTACCTAAAATGAATTATGTATCTTTGGTTTTATGGACAGTAAAAAGTTTCTTAGTACTCAAATACAATGTGAAAGAAATTATGGGGGGAAAAAAAGAAATTATGGGTAATAAACTCTGTATCTTTCTTCCTCAGAAACATCGCAAATGCAAATACCTGTCTTTTATTTGTTTTCTAATGCAAGTAGCATTTTCAATAAAAGTCCAGTTTTCAGAAGGCTCTTGCCCACTCCTGACCTCAGTGCCTACCTAATACAGTGTCTGGCACATAACTGACTCATGTGTGGGATAGACAAACAGAGAGGGGGAAGTTTATGTCATGTTCTTGCATTTAAGATCTTTAGCAAGCACAGACAACCACTCTCTGAAGGAATGTGAAGTATCATATTTGTGATGTGATTAAAGAATATCTTCTGCCATTAATATTCATTTTCAAGGAATAGACTTTTAAGCAACTCCACAGTTAACAACGAAAAGTAAAATAGGTGATTTTCATTTACATAAATGTGACAATGTTTGGCTTCTTGAAAGATATCTAAATAGTTACATTTTATTTTCATTCAGGAAGCAAACACAGAGGTTTCGCTCGGGCTTCTATTCGGGTGACATTTTAGAACGGGAGTGTACGTTTCAGGGAGTAATTAGCGATTGTTTAATATAAGGACCCTGCAGGCTGGAAAGGCTGTAGGTCAGAATTGTTAACAGGCCAAGCAATGAAAAATAGTAAAGCATTAGCAGATAGCATAAATAGTCAAATCTGACCTCCAAAGGTCAAGAGAGAACTAAATAATTTGGTCACCACACTGACTGATTTAAGTCCATGCAATCCCAATTTCCTTTCTGCTGGTGCGCTTTTGGTATTACACGGTCCAGTACTCGCCAGGAGTCAGCAGGGAGAGAACGGCGCAGTGTCCAGTCGATATAACTTTCCTAACTGTGGGTGGTTTCCAGGGGAAAAAATAGCCAGAAGTACTTCAGGAGCCAAATGAAATTATTTAAACAGAATGCCACTGTTGTCCTCTTACACCGCGGTTTTGTTTCTCTAAGAATGATTTATGAAGGGGGCACCAAGACAAACACGGAATTAACTAGGCAGGCATTTTGGATGTCGAGCTCCCCACATTCTTCTCCTTTGGAGACTTCTGAGATGTAAAGTTGGGACTTATAAAAGTGAAAAAAGTGATAATACCTGTAACTGAAGAATTAATGTGCTTTTATCTCTCAAAATATAGGTGAAAAATGACCTCCTGAATTCTTTCAGATTTCTATCCAAAACCAAAACCAAACAAAAACCAATGCATTGAATTTATCTCCCTCTTGCCTTTTTTTTAACAATGAACGCTTCACGAGTTTGCGCGCCACCCTTGCGCAGGGGCCGCACTCATCTTCTCTGTCCTGTTCCAACTTGAGCGCATGCGCTGCCAAGACCGGCACCCTCTTGCCTTCTTATCCACGTAGGCTCGCTCTACTACTGTACAGCCCTCACACTGGTAGTTTGTGGCTTGTTCAAATTTATATATTTTGCCTTCCTGGGAATTGAACGCAGGCCTTGCGCATGTTAAACAGGCGCGTTAAACTCAATCGCTGAGCTACATCCCTAGGCGCTCGGATTTATTTTTGAAGCAAGATTTTTACATCCAGTTTTGATTAGGGAAAGAGTATTTAAAGCCCCCTCCCAATTCTTTTGGTGATTACAAAATCACTTTAAGACCCGGGGGGAACTATATGCCTCAGTGACAAAACAAATTTGCCACAAATCATTGTACAAAAGAACAGCAGGACCAAAGCCTCAACTCGAGGACCGCTCCTATTCATCATCCATTTGTTTTGGAAACTCCACCCTCCTCCTGCCATGTTCAATATCTAATTGGCATTCTGACCCTTCAGATAACATCTGTGACTCGGGTGCATCTTGGAGACCCTTTGTTCCCTAAAGGCGGCGTTGGAGAGGCTCTCCGCGGACACACTAGGTTGGGGCGTGCCTTTGTGTTTTGCTACCGGCACTGAATGGAGCAAAACTTTTGCGAGCCAATATGAAAAACGGAGCCACCTCCACAGCCTCACCAAGCCATACTCAGCAGGTTTCAGATTATGGGTGGCTGGAGCAGAGGGCACTGAGCAGTCGACAATTAAGCTGCTCCTCTTTAATAAGAACTTCCAAGCTGCTGCTCTCACACATGGATTTGTACTCTGACACGTGCACGTTTTTTGGTCTGAGAGCCACTGTTTTCCATGCTTAGGCAGCACGTGCATTGAAGTGTAATTTGCGAAACACACTCCTGATATAAACCCGGGTTCCTTGGGAGAGCCGTGCAGACATGACTGATTTTCTGCCACATTCTTTCCGTGAATCCAAGAATCTATGCACTGTAAGCCACATAATTGTTTTAAGTAGCATCAAGAAAGGAAAAGTTATCCTAATGAGCTTGTGACAACGGCTTTGATTTAAAGACCCAGGGCCTATGATCAGAGGTGTAAAAACGTGCAGTCTGAGGATGACAAAATTTGGAAGTATGTGCAGACGTTACAAGTTTTGTGGATGAGATTATGTGATGGATGTCTCTGCGACTTACTGGGTAACTCGCCAAGGACTTGGGCTGCTTTCTTTCCCCTGGTGTCTGTGTTCCGTCCAGGGGTGTCCAGTGCTGTCCCCCCTCTGAGACTGAGCTAAGGAAGGTCTTTGCTGATGCCACTCTGTGGTATGTGTTTGGGTAGCTGATTTCCTTTTTCTTTTCTTTAAATTTCACTTAACAGTTTGGTTTAGGGCCAGGAGGATAATGTTTTTAATCTTCTTGGAAGCTAATGAAAGTCAGTGAGCTAAGAAAGGTTTAGCTCCTTTGTTAAATATGAGCTGCGTTTCTCCCAGTAATACCTGCACTTAATGTTGCCTGAAATTCTGGGCCAGCCCACTGTAGAATCTGCCCATTCAGTTCTCAAGAGAAGCCAACAAAAGGACATGCACTGTAATCAAGCGATCAGGCATTTAGGGTAATTTTGCAAAATAAATTAAGTAACTGATGTATTTTTCCTCCCCTGGTGTGAATGGGTGTGCAGGTTGCTCAGTTCCAATCTCCCTTCAGTTTCTCTCCAGGTCGGAGGCTTCCAGAAATATTTGCACTTGAGAAATGGGGGTGATTCCTCTCGGGATGCCGTGACCGCTCAGAGGGAGTGCTTAGTTCAGTATCTTGTACACACGGTCGAGTCTGCTCATTCTTTCATGTTTGCTGTGCTGTGGATAGAGCCCAGGGCCTCATGAATGCTAGGAAACTGCTCTATGTTGGGGTACACCTGGCCCGCATTATGATTATTCTTTTTGTGTGTGTGATTATTCTTACTATTGTTAGACACAGTGTCTTGATCCACAGTTGTCAAACATTTTATGCTGTTTCCAAACAGATGCAGTATTCTCTTGCCTGGTGTCTCAAAGGGCGCATTATTAAGACTGTTAACAACACGCTTTTCTTTCATTGTTTCTGCCAGTTCTCCCTCTGAAACTTTAAATCGGCATTTCCACATCCAGCTACAGGAACTGATGATCATCAGGCAAAATTCCTACAGTGCTTTCTTTCCCATTTCTGAGAACTGTTTATGAATCTTCTTTTCCAGAGCTCTTTTTGTTTAAATGTGCCTTTTCCTCCTAAGGAGCTTAAACGGTTACATAATCAATAACCTCTCTTTCAGTCTCCATCCATCACTGACATCTTTTGACTGTGGTCATTATTTGTTGAAAGTTTTGAACAGGAGGAAACATCCTGGTAATTAGAAATGTTGTTTTAGCTCGACACCTAGAGGAGAGCTCTCCGTGTGTCAGCAGCCGGGAGGAACATGAAGATGAAATGAGATCTCTGTTTTGCTGGGGAGGAATCCATAGAAGGAGGGCTCAAACTCCAACTCAGAAATTTAATTTCTTTACTTCTTAAGACCTTTAACAAATCTCGTTAGCCGGTAGTGGTGCGTACTTATAATCACAGGACTGCAAGTTTGAAACCAGCCTGGGCAACTCAGTGACATGCTATTTAAAAAATAAATTAAAAAAAAAAAAGAATTTTAAAAAGGGTTGGGATGGAGCTCAGCACTCCCTGGTTCGTTCTTACTGGGGGGGGGGGGGGGGGGGGGGGGGGGGGGGG